CTTCCAACCCAGAAGTTATAAGGTAAAATATTGACACTATGACTATTTTAGAGTTAAGACTATACAATATGTATAAAAAAGGTTAAAGGACAAAGAATAGGAAAGTATTTGCAACACATCTGAAAAAGGATTAATAGTTTTGGGGGGTTTTTTGTAGGTAAAAAATTCTACAAACATTTCATCAAGAAATGGATGAAGAATACCAAAAGTCATTTAAAGCTTTTTAAAAATAATAGATATAGGCAAGAAATATACAAAAACAGGTTTCGTTTCAACAAATGATAAAGCAACAACTACAATAACATCATTGTCACAATCTGATTAGTAAGTATTAAAAATATTGGTAATATCAAGTATTGGTGATTGTAAAAGGAGCTGGGTAGTCATTAACTCTTTTTCTTCATCTTCTTAAAGCAGTCCTTTTGGCATATTTTGCAGTGCTGGTTGGGTGGAGGTGTAGTCTTTTAGCCTTCTTTTGTCTGGGGAACTCCTTATTTTGCCTTCCATTTCACTTGAGAGCCCTGCTTCAATTGAAATTAGAGAAGTCTTGGTTGCAGGCCTTTGCTTTTCATGACTTGAAATATTTCTTGCCATACCCTTCTGGCTTGTAGTGTTTCTCTTGAGAAATCAGTTGGTAGCCATATCAGGGCCCGCTTGTATGTTACTACTGGTTCCTCCCTTGCTTCCTTTAGAATTTTCTGTTTGTTTTTGATATTTGCCATTTTAATGATGATGTCTCTTGGAGTGGGTCTCATTAGGGTTCCTCTTGAATGGGACCCTCCGTGCTCCCTGGACTTGTGTGACTTTTTCTCTCCTCCAATTAGGGAACTTTTCCATCATTACTTTTTCAAACAGGTTCTCTCTCCCTTCCTCCTTTTCTTCTTCTGGTATCCCTATTTTATGGATATTATTACATTTCAGGTTGTCCTGCATTTCCCTAAATGCCTCTTCACTCTTTTTGAGTCTTTTTTCATTTTGTTGCTCTTTCTGGGAACTTTTTTCTACCTTGTCCTCCAGCTCACTGATTCGTTCCTCTGCTTCATCTTGCCTGCTTTTCCTTCTGCCATGTTCTTCAGTTCAGAAGTTGTATTCTTCATTTCCTCTTGCCGCTTATTGATAATTTCTGTGTCCTTTTTCATGATGATATAGTTTGCAGTAAGTTCCTTGTAGTTTCCTGTAATTTTTTGTAATTTTCTCGAGCTCATTGAGCTTCCTTAGAACCATTGTTTTAAACTCAATATCTGATAGTTTACTTGCCTCTATTTCATTTAGTTCTCTTTGTGAGGATTCCTCCTTTCCCTCTGATGGGTTTTTCTTGGTCTTCCCATTATTTGTGGGACTCTTCTTTTTTATTCCTGCTTCTTAAATTAATCTGTCTTGATTTCCTGACTTTGTGGTGTGAATTCTATGGTAGGAGATCACTGTTTTTACTTTCTGGATCTACCTCTGATGATGTCAGTTGTTGACCCCTTCTGACCTGAGACAGACTCTTCTAGACTTCCAGGAATCTACTGTCTGTGGCTGTCTCCTTCTGCTGTTAATCTAGGCACTCTGCACTCAGCAGACCGGCTTAGGCACCACAGGGCAGAGCAGAGTCCCTCCTGGGGGCAGGGCTATTGGGTCCTCTCACGCTACTGCTGCTCAGGCAAGTGGTCTGCATCAGCCAGGCGGCTGCTGCTGTATGGGGGAGGAGTCAGCACTGGGATCCCACCAGCTTCTCTCTCCATTCTCTGCCCAAAGTCTCCGTCTCCAGTCTCTCAACTGTCTCTAGACCACTCTGTGCCCCCTTTAGCCAGGGATCTACTATCTGGCTGCCAGTCTGTACTCAGCAGTCAGGCTTTAGCACTACAGAGCTAGGACCGAGTCCCTCCTGCTGGCAGAGCTATTTTGTCCTCTCATGCCACTCAGGGGAGTGGCCCACCTGAGCAAGATGGCTGCTGCTGTTGCATGGAGGATGAGTCAGCACCAGGATCCTGCCAGCTACTCTCTCAGTTCTTTCCTCCAAGCCTCTTTCCACAGTCTCTAGCCCACTCTGTCCCTGCCTTTGCCAGAGATGAGGATAAGTGGCTGCAAATAAAACTTTATGCATTGGACCTTTAAACGGCTCTTTGCATCTCCAGCCAACCATCTCTGGCAGAGAGCAACCCTGCCGCTTTTCACAGCTGGCTGTTATCTGTGTACTTTTTGGGCTCTGGTGCTGTAGGTTGGAGATTCCTGCTTATGGTTTAGATCCTGCTTTTCACAGGTGGATCCAATTGGCTATTTCAATATCCTTCTGGTGTTGCCATCCATGGGCACCCTGCCTGCCTTCTCGAGTCTCTACTACACTCCTTACCAGTTAGGTTGTGCCAAAGCTAATTCTTCTGTCTGTCCGAGGTTATAAGGCTCATCTCTCGCTGTTGTTCAGTTGTTTGTTCCAGGTGATTTTTCCCCAATTTAGTTGTACTTCCATGTTGTTCCTGGGAGGAGGTCAGTGTGACTTCCACTTACTCCTCTGCCATCTTGATTGTCCTGATACTTTTTTAATACACACTGATATGACAGCTGTCACAATACAATCTTAACAAAATTGTTTTGAATGAAGTTAAAGACAATTGAGCCCTACTACAGCCATCTTACAGAAAAAACAATGAGATTTTTGGCCAGCCAGATATTTTTAAGAGATCAGTCGCATTTCGAAAGTCCAGGCAAAGAGAATATGATTGTCCTGGTGGAATTTAATTCAATCAACTGTGGCATGGAGGACTGGGTTGAAAAGTAGAAATAGGGATGCCTGAGCTCATTTCAGAGGGTGTGGGAACAGTTAAAGCAGCTGATTTGTGTTCTGGGTGGGCACACAAAGGTATTCACTACCAAATACATGTATGTTTACCAGTCTGGAGAGATGTATGTGATGTATTAATTAATTTAAAAAGTATATGATAAAATTTCATGTGTAGTAGGATCCCATTTTAATAAAAGCCGATATATAAATATGTACTTACACTTAAATACCTGGAAATACAGATAAAAAAATGCTAGCAATGGTTACCTCTGTATGATAATATTATATGGTTTTTTTCTTCATACCTTTAGTTTTAATTTTATGTGATTGTGAATCTGTATTTAATTTTTAAACCTTATAGTATGAAAAAATTCAAACATATATAGAGTACCATTTCCAGCTTGTTAAAGCATAGCCAATCTTATATTACCTATTAATTTCCTTTTCTCCAACTATCTAAATATTATACAATAAGCATTTTATGTTATAATTTGAAAGTAAAAGTGAACATTTTTCTTTTTAGGTAATGTTTGGAATATCTAGCTAAAAATTTGAGATAAAATTAAATTAAATTTATACTTCATATTTGTGCCAGATAAATTACAGATGCATTAGAGAGTCAAATATGTTTTTTTAAAGGAAACAAAGAGTAGTAGAAGAAAATAAAGCAAACTGACTTGGAATCCAGAGTTAGGAGGTTAAGTAAGATGTAGCAACAAAAACTACTATACTATATATTAATATAAAAATCACTATATACAAATTTAAAATACAAGTGAAAAACAAGAAAACAAGTTGCATTTTGTCCGAAAATAATGCTCTAAGCAAAAGCCAAATATCTGTGAGGATGAATGAGCAGCAGATACATGAACAGTCAAGTCCCCAAAGAAGAAATGGCCAATAGATATAAGAAAAATTTACTCTAGTAACTGAAGATACACAAATAAAATAATGATAGATGATTTTTCTCCTAAAAAATTAATAGAGAAGATATGGGGAAACAGTCATTCTAATAAACTGTCGGAAATGTAAATTGGCAAAACCTTTCTTGAGGATAGTTGACAATCCATATGACAGCCTTAGGATTTAGAATACCTTTGACCTAATAATTACACTTATAGAAATTAATCATGGCTATCAATAAAAGTGTAGCAAAAAATATATTTATCATGTTACTATTTATAATCGTGAAAAGTAAAAGTAAAAACCCAACAAACCCCACAATAGAGGATTGCTATAATTGTTAAAGATTTTGGTGTACTTATGCAGTAGCTTATTATGCAGATTTTAAAATAATGTGGAGAAATACTTAATAACATGTAAAAACATTTGACATGTTAGGGAAAAATGAAACAAACTGAAGTGTTAACTTTATTTTGGAATTTTGAGATTATGGCTGGTATTTATTTAGTTAGTTTATCTGTGTATTTTGTAATAAGACAAGAAAGCTATTTTAAAAATAGAATGGTTTTAAGCAGCAACTTGGAACATATATGCTTTAGTTCTACCTAATGATGCAGTATTTATACAGATATACTGACTTGTTCTAAAATTCTCTGGGGAAAAAAAACTGTCAAATGAAAGAAACTAAGGAAGTAGGTGGGGCATGTGAATTAGATGTTGACCTGAAATAAGTGCAAAACCAAAAACAAAGCTTTTATTATTAAAAACTTAGTGCTAAGAGACCTCTTTTTGTTTTATTAATAGTTTTAAAGTTGAATTTATTAATATGAATTATGGTTATTTGGTAAGATCTGTGCTATTATAGTTTTCGGAATTAGAGTTATTACTGAGAGAATTAAAAATATGTACAACTGTATCTAAATACTTTTTTTCTTCTGGAAAAATTAGCTATACAAGAAACCTAAGGTGTTGAAAATCAATTGATCAGTTTGAGATATTGATTAAGGTAGACATGTATCCATTTCTGTGTCCTCATTATATTATCTTTGCCTGTAGATATCAAAACAAAAATTTGCTACCCTGAAAAGCAGTTGGTTATAATAAATTGTGACTGTTTAGGAGACCAAGAAATCTTTAGAAAAAATTATTATTTAAATTATCTCTAGCATCCTTCCTAATGCCTTAATACATTCATATTTTGTCTCTTTATACCCAAATTTCTTAGTGTGATAAAAGTTGTATTTAACTGATTAAATAGTTCAGTGTTTAATCTGATTCTGAACCAAAATTATTTCCTTTTTGATAACTTTTTGTTTTTATTTGTTTGTTTAAGATTATATTTGGGAATTTAAATATCTTTTCGTTCAGCGCAATTGCATCCTAGAAAACCTAGAATTGCATACAACACCTTGGTCATCCTGTGAGTGCCTGTTTGATGATGATATAAGAGCAATTACGTTTAAAGCAAAATTTCTAAAAAACATGCCCTCTTTTGTGAAGATGTCAGATTTAGCAACACACCTGGAGGATAAGCGTTCAGGTAAGATTTTTATATATGTAAGATATTGCTAGTTTTAAGATTTTATTTATTTCTTTTTAGAGAAAGGGGAAGGGAAAGAGAAAGAGAGGGAGAGAAACATCAGTGTGTGAGAGAAACATCTATCAGTTGCTTCTCGCACATGCCCCAACCAGGGACCAAACCCAAGCACACAACCTAGGTATTGTGCCCTGACTGGGAATCGAACCAGTGACCTACTTTGCAGTACGACACTCAATCAATTGAGCCACACTGTTCAGGGCGGTATTGCTAGTTTTAATACAAGTAAAGAAGCTACCATTTGTGGGGGAAATATATATAAAAGTGAAATATAGATCTTTGTAAATATCTGAACCAGATATTGGCATCTTCTTAGCTTTTTGCCTATAATCTTTTGAGGTTAACTTGTAATTATTAAGGATCACTTAACATTTTTTTGTGTATAATTACTAGAAGTTCGTCTTTTAATTCAGTCTGCTTACTAACACTAGGGATTAGTTTGAGTTTTCTATGATTTGATATACCTAGAGTCATACAGAATGGACACTGTTTTGTTTGGCATCTTTAACTTAGGAAATTCTTTTGAGATACCCCCGCCATTGTGCATAGCAGCAATTTATTCCTTTTTCTTCTATTCTATGGATATGTTAAGATTTTTAAAATGTGTTCATGTGTTGATGGACATTTGAGTTATTTCCAGTTTTTGGCTGTTATAAATAAGCTTCTATAAACATTCAGGTATAAGGCATTATACGGACATAGTCTTTATTTTCTCATAAGTAAATATCTAGAAGTTGAATAAATAGCTGGATTATATGGTGTATGTTTAACTTTTTGCAAAACTGCCATACTATTTTCCAAAGTGGTTGTACCATCTGTAGTGATACTGGTATTGCCTGATATTACTAATTTATGTCTTCTAGCTCCCCGCCCCCCTCTCCACCCCCACTGGTTAATTTGGCTAGAGGTTAATTAATTTTATTGATGTTCTCAAACTGATTTTTTTCCTATTTTCCTGTTTTCTATTTCATTGATTTCTGGTCTGATCATTATTATTTCCTCCACTTCCTTGGATTTTACTCTTTCTCATTTATTAAGTGCAATTGAGGTCATTGATAAGAGACTTTTCCTTTTTTTCCAATGTAGGAGTTTAGTGCCATAAACTTCCCTTTAAGTGCAGCTTCTGAGTTTTCTATCCAATGCCCTATGGATTATGAGATTTTTCCATGTAACTAGTGGGAAAATGCACTTTTCCTGGCTTTGTGGAAGCTTTAGGGAATTGTTCCCAATAATCCTTTCAGACAGTTCTTTCCTTGGTCTGTGGTCACATATACTGGTAAATGCTCAGTTGAATCCTCCAGGGGGACCCTCTGTAACTCTTTTTGCAGCTCTCTTCTACTGTCCTGCCCTGAGAACTCCAGCCACATTAGCCTTCCATATCAAAGTTCTTTCTCCTCTCAACTCAAGGAAGCCATCAGGTTCTGCTGGGTTCCCCTTACCTTCACCACAGCCAGGAAACTCTCTTATCTGTAAGCTGTGGGAGTCACCAGGCTCGATCTCTTAAGGGTCACCGTCCTTTGTTGCCTGATATCAAAGGTCTTGAGAATTGTTTCATACACTTTGTTTGGGTTATTAGTTGTTTGAAATGTCAGAACTGTTTATATACACAATACTTCTGACACTGAATGTATGGATTTTATTTTCCTATACCAACAACCAGTTCTCCAACTCTCTGGACATCAACTGGATATCCTACAATTCAATTCTGACACTACCTATCTGGAGTTGGTGTCAGACTCCACAGGTTTAAGAGCTCAGTCCCACAAGACTGTCCTTTCTTCAGGTGCCAGTTGCAAGGATTAGGTGTCTGGGATACCCACACTTCTGTGTTGTATCCTGGGTATATTCTGACTTGGCTATGTTACCAAACCTTGAATGCCAGATACTTGAATCTCCATGTCATAGAAGTGAGCACTGAACTCAGTACAAGATCAAGCAGATAGAATTTATTGAAAAGAGGTTGTATACAAGGGAGTTCACCAGAAAAGAGAAGCTGAGCTTTCCAAGGAGTTCTTGTGGGTGCCTTATACAGGTGCCTTGAGGTGGGTGTAGGGTTTGGGACTAAGGATGAGGTCAATTGTCCTATGATCATCATCAGGAGGCAGTTTACCTCTGGGCAGTCACAAGATGTTTTCCATGGTCAGTGCTTACCACTCAGAGGGCCTGAAAAATAATGTTTGTGCACACATTTTAGTTACTATTTAGTTGACAAAAAACTATTGCAGAATACTATGTTAAGAAAGGATGTTATTAGCGTACCTTCTTTCCTTTAAGGATGTGGTTAGGTTATGGAATTTTACTGAAAGCAAGGAGTCATAGTTAGGCTTCTTAGATCGGCGTTCTTTCAGTCAAGATGTAGTCCAGATGTTACCCATATACTAATTCAGCTATAAAGTTGTGCATTCCTACAACCCACCCTCCTTCAGGTTCACTAATTTACTAGAAGTGCTCATAGACTTCAGGAACACTTTATTTACACTTAGCAGTTTATTTTAAAGGATACAGCTCAGGAATGGCCAAATGAAGAGATGCACAGAGCAAGTTATGGGTGAAGGGACATGGAGCTTCCATGCTCCCTTCAGGTGCACCACTCTTCCAGCACCCCTGTGTACTCCCTGAACCCAGTTATTTAGGGGTTTTTAATCAAGGGTTCATTCTGTAGGCACAGTTGACTAAATCATTGACCATTGGTGATTAACTCAAACTTTCAGAGGTTGTGGAGTAGAGCTGCAAGTTCCAACCCTTTAATCCTGCCTTGGTCTTTCTGGTGACTAAGCCCCAGCCAGAAACTACCTATGCACCCCAGTCACGAGTCATCTCAATAGCACACAAATGATACTCTTATCAGTCTGGAGATTCTGAGGGATTTTGGAGTCCAGGACTAGGGACAAAGACCAAATATTTGTTTTTTATTGTATCATAAGGTGGGAGCATGAATCTACTCTACACTACATTGGCCAGAAACCAGATTAAAATTTTACAGGTTGTGTTAATTCACATAGGTGTGTATATATGCTTCACAAGACATGATTGTAGACATTAGCATAATAAAACTAAAGAGAATGCAAGTAGAAAAATAATAACACCTCTCAAAAAACCCAAATTTTACACTTCTAGCCAAGATGGAGGCGTAGGTAGATACACTTTGCCTCCTCGCACAGTCAAAAAGAGGACAACAAATTTAAAAACAAAAAAATAACCAGAATGGCCAGAAAAATTGAACTGTATGGAAATATGACAAACCAAGGAACTAAAGAAGATACATTCATCCAGACTGGTTGGAGAAGTGGAGACAGGCAGCTGGGGCAGAGAGGACACCTAGCAAGACGGCAGCTGGAGGACCGGGCTGGTGAGGCAGTGGCTGGCAGACCGGGATATCCCACATTCGTGTGTGGATATCCGGGAGGAACAACTGGGGAGCAAAACAGACTGCACAACAAAGGGTTCCAGTGTAGGAAAAGAAAGCCTCAAAACATCTGGAGGTAAAAACCCATGGGATGTGGCAGCAGGAGAAACTTCCAGCCTCACAGGAGAATCCACTGGAGAGATGCACAGGGTCCTAGAATGTACACAAACTCACCTACCCGGGAATCAGCACCAGAGGGCCCAATTTGCTTGTGGCTAGTGGGGAAAGTGACTGAAAGCTGGCCAAGAGCTGAGCAGCCAGAATTGTTCCCTCTCAGACCCCTCCGCCATAGAAAGCCTCACAACTCAGCTACCTGGGTTGCCCCACCCTGGCAAATACCTAAGGCTCCACCCCTTCCAGTGGAACAGATGCACTGAGACAAAGAAATATGGCCGAAATGAAAGAACAGACCAAAGCTCCAAAAATAGGACTAAGTGATGAACAAATAGCCAACCTATCAGATGCACAGTTCAAAACACTGATAATCAGGATGCTCACTCAATTGGTTGAATATGGTCACAAAATGGAGAAAACAGCAAGGCTATGCAAAGTAAAATAAAGAAAAATTTACAGGGAACCAACAGTAAAAGGAAAGAAACTGGGACTCAGGTCAACTCTGGAGCAGAAGAAAGAGATAAACATTCAACCAGAACAGAATGAAGAAACAAGAATTCAAAACAAATGAGGAGAGGCTTAGGAACCTCTGGAACAACTTTAAACAATCCAACATCCAAACGATAAGGGTGCCAGAAGGAGAAGAGGAAAAACAAGAAAGTGAAAACTTATTTGAACAAATAATGAAGGAGAACTTCCCCAGTCTGGCCAAGGAAATAGACTTCCAGGAGATCCAGGAAGCTCAGAGAGTCCCAAAGAAGTTGGACCCAAGGAAGCACACACCAAGGCACATCCTAATTAAGTTACTCAAGATTAAAGATAAAGAGAGAACCTTAAAAGCAGGAAAAGAAAAGGAGACAGTTACCTACAAAGGAGTTCCCGTAAGGCTATCAGCTGATTTCTCAAAAGAAACCTTGCAGGCAAAAAGGGGCTGGCAAGTTTTCAAAGTCATGAAAAGCAAAGACATACATCCAAGATTACTCTATCCAGCAAAGCTATCATTTAGAATGGAAGGACAGATAAAGTACTTCCCAGATAAGGTAAAGTTAAAGGAGTTCATCATCACCAAGCCCTATATTATATGAAATGTTAAAGGGTCTTACCTAAGAAAAAGAAGATCAAAAACTATGAACAGTAAAACAGAGGGGAGGGTGAGGGGGGAGAATGGGGGAAATGTACAGGGAATAAGCAGCATAAATAGTAGGTGCAAAATAGGCAGGGGGAGGTTAAGAATAGCATAGGAAATGGAGAAGCCAAAGAACTCATATGTACAACCCATGGATATGAACTAAGGGGGGGGGGGAGGGATCCTGGGGGGTGGGGCAGTATAGACTGGAGGGGAATAAAGAGGAAGAAAAAAAATGGGACAACTGTAATAGCATAATCAATAAAATATATATATTGAAAAGCCCAAATTTTAATGGAATACAGAGATTTATTCTCGGTGAAGAACTCCATATACTCATTTCTGCATTGAAACATTTATTAATATTAACTAACAGTTAATTTAAAATTAATATTTCTAGAAGATAACACAAATGATGGAAAATTCTGTTTTTATACTGTTAAACTTTTATACAACTTTCAAAAGTGGAAGTAAGTTGTTTGCAGTCACAGAAGACTCTAGATTTATACTAACTGGTGAAATCTTGGGTAATGTTGTAGTGTCATATAAGTTTCTAAAACAGTTTCATATTTGTGTGCCCCTCCTGTCCCCCCACCTCCCAAGTCTCCACAAGCTTATAGAGCTGATCACTGCAAGAAGGAATGCCATAGGCAGTGGAGGAACTCCATTCACTTTAGTGTCATGGAGAAGTCAACTCTCTTATCTATTGCTTACATAAAACAGTTACCTGCTGGAAATGATGACCAAGAATTAGATTTTAAAATACAAAATCAGCAAAATAGATGGTCAAAGCTCTGATGATTAATGATACCAAGGATATAGTTATCCCCACTAATTTGGGAGATGAGGCTGCTAATTGGGAGTATTCTTGCAAACCCTGGAGCTGTGTTCCCTATTAAAAAACTATGCAAAAACTTCGCACTGTTACAATCAGTCCCTGGTAGGTTGTGTTCAGAGAGGTCCTTTTAGCCATTTTCATTTTCTTTATTTTCAACTATGAGGACTGACTTCATAGTTTCTATCATTGTTTATGTGTTTTAAAGACAGAAATGGAGAAAGCACATGGAAGTACAAGCAAGTTTTTCCTAATCTATGTCACAGTTAAATAATAGGAAGGAGAAAGGGAGATCAACATGGGAGAATTTCCTAAGAAAGTTTTCTCTTTCAGTAAAGCTTAACAAAAGCCAGGGAGTGATAGAGTTATTCCTGACTCCTTGAAAAGAAATAAAGATGCTCACTCATCACCTTTCCTGTCATTAGTAGAATGTCAGTGCCCAGCAGGCTGTAATCCCCTTTAAAGTAGAGCCCATATTTGTTATGAGCTTTACATTTTTTAAAAAAGGTGTCTAGTGATTCCCCTGCTGGGACTATACCCTAAGAACACCAAAATGCCAATACAAAAGAACCTATGCACCCCAGTAATCATAGCAGCACAATTTACAATAGCCAAGTGTTGGAAGCAACCTACATGCCCATCAGTAGATGATTGGATCAAAAAGTTATGGTACATATACACAATGGAATACTATGCAGCAGAAAGTAAAAAAGAACTACTACACTTCGCGACAGCATGGATGGAACTAGAGAGCATTATGCTAAGCGAAATAAGCCAGGGGGCGAAAGACAAATACCATATGATCTCACCTATAAGCGGAACCTAACCAACAATACAAAGATGCAAGGAAAATAAGACCAGCAACACTGAAAGGAAAAGAAGTCAATGGAGACAAGAGGGAAGGAGGGAGGGGGGGCGGGGGAAAAAGAAGGGAAGGGCAAAGTCAAGGAACATGTGGCAAGGACTCATGGACAAAACCAAAGGGGAAGAGCTGAAGGAGGGAAGGAGGGAGGGGGCAAGGGAAAGTGGTGGGGTGTAGGCAGAGACAAATGTATTTGAAAAAATAAATTTAAAACAAGTGTCTAAATTTACAAAATGTTAGGAGTTATTAACATTCTTTTAAAATTATTAAGTTCTTTCATTAAATAGTTTCTTAGTGATTGGAAAGGTGTGAAATAGTCTATCTGCAATAGTTTATTAGATATATTGACCACTAAACACTCTTGTAATTCATGTAGGGATATATGACATGATTGGCAGACATGATGAAACAATCTTTTGGCACTAAAAGACTAAAGCAAACTAAAGGACTTAGGAATAGGAAAATTACCATTAATGGGACTCAAAGAGATAACCAGAAAAGAGAATAGGACACCAGAGTGATGAGCTCTTGACCTAGAGTGTACTAACTTGCTAGAAGGACAAAAAACAAATGCTTAAAAAAAAGGCTTTTAAAAAGCTTTTAAAAGGATTTAAACTGAATATGGAGGGAAGGGAGAAGAATGCTCAGATAAACTCATAGACCTCGTGTATAATAAGGCAAAGATAAATTAGAAAAAAAGACTGCTTGGCAGATAATAGATACTCAATTTTTTTTCTTTCCTTTTTTTTTTTTTTTTTTAAGCAAGTGAGTGCATGAGCCATTGAGTAGAGAATGAGCATGCTTGAGGTTCCTGGTGAGTTGCACATTTAATAAATGAGGACTCTCGGTGCTCATGTGGCTATACCACCAACACCCAGAGTATGGGTGGTGATGGGCAGGAAATCGAAAAAGTTTAAAAAGAGGTTAATCTAGTGGTATATTATTTTTGGACAAAATAGGGAATAGAAGTATAACTTAACCTCCTATTTGGCTTTTATTGATGATCAATTAAAAAGACAGAAGAGGCCCTGGCTGGGTAGCTCAGTTGGTTGCAGTGTCATCCCATACACCAAGGCTGCAGATTTGATCCCCAGTCAGGGCACATGCAAGAATCAACCAGTGAATGAGTAAAATAAGTGGAACAACAAATCAATGTTTCTGTCTGTCTCTCTCATTCTCTGTTTCTCTTTCTATAATCAATAATAATAATTTAAAAAAGACAAGAGAGGGCAAGGAGAGAGGAGATGATAGCTGGTTTCAAGTATTTAAAGGGATTTCTGCTAAAAGAGGTATTAAACTTATTTTGCATAATTCCAGAGGACAGAAGGAGAAAGAAACTATACACCTGTTCAGCCAAATCAGTCAAATAAATCTTTACTCTAAATTACTAGCAGATCACCCCTTACATTCTAGGGTCAATACTGAAGCCATAAGTGAGTGAGATTATTTAGGAAAAGAGCAAAGAGAAGACCAAGAACAAAATCTCAGGTGTATCCTTCACAATAAGAAACTGTAAATCAAGTACGTAATTAACCATGTTTGTAAATTATAATTTTGGTCCTATAATTTATAATATTTTTGTCTGTCTTTTGTAGGAGTGATTTTAATCAAAGCCCAGATTTTAGAGCTAGTGTTTAACATTACAGCAGATGAGAAAATAGTTTTTAATGCCCATAGTTCTCTGAAGAGCATTTTCGCTTCTCTTCCCAACATTACATATACTGGCTGTGCAAAGTGTGGATTGGAACTAGAAACAGATGAGAACAAGATCTACAAACAGTGTTTTAGCTGCTTGCCATGTACTATGAAGAAAATATACTACAGGTAAGTCTACTAAGCAAGCCAATCAGATGGAAAATATTTATTTTTATAGGACTGGAAATGACAAAAAATTTACATATATCAAGTCATACTTTCTAATGAGAACTAATCAGAGCTAATACAAGAGTACAAAATTTCCTCTGAGTGATTAAAAGGTATTTAGGAAAGCAAAAATTGCTCAGTATTCATAACAGGATTTTTAAAAGCAGTAATTGGGAGAGTTTATTGTCTTGAAGAAGCTATACTGAAGAAAATTTTTACTTGGTTTACACTTTCAAGCAAGTTCTAAATGAAGAAACTCAGTCCCCCACCTTAACAAATAATTGGAATGTAAAGGTTATAAGTACTATATGATTTAATCTTTAAGTTCTGGAAGCTGTACTTCAATTTTCCCAAATTCACATTAGAAAATAAGGATCCCCAGTGTGCTATGGTAAAATGGCTAATCAAGTCAATGAAAACACATTGTTTTTCAAGTGATAAATATTCAAATTCTTAGGTAATCTTTTTCTTTTTACCTTATAAATTACATGCCTTTACAAAATAGCACTCAGTGCCAATTTTAGGACATTTGAATCACCCCCTCCCCCAAAGCTCCATTAGCAGTCACTTTTCATTCCTTCTTCCACCAACTTAACTTTCAGATTGTTCCCACTTTTTGGCTATTATAAATAATACTGATATGACCCATTCAAGTACAAATTATTGTGTGGATATATGTTTTTATTTCTCTTGTGTATGTACTCAGAAGTAGAATTGCTGGGTCATGTGGTAAGTCTGTGTCTAACCTTTTGAGAAACTGTCAAACTGTTTTTCAAAGCTACTGCACAATTTTATGTTCTCATCAGCAATGTATAGGGGTTGCAGTTTCTCCATATCCTTGCCAACACTTTTTATTATCTCTCTTTTTTCATTTTGTTGCTTGTCCTTTTTGGTTGGTATATCTAAGAAAGGTATCATTTATAAGCCAAGATCATAGAGATTTACTCCTATATTCTAAGAATTGTATAGTTTTAACTCTTACATATAGGTCCATGATTTATTTTTTTGTGTATGGTGTAAGGAGGGAGTCCAACTTAATTCTTTTGCATGTGAATATTCTGTTGTCTCAGCATTATTTGTTGAAAAGACTATTATATCCCCATTGAATCATCTTGGTATCATTGTCAAAAAGCTTATTATCTTTCTATCTCACTAAGTTCTTAAGTTTCTCAAGTGAAGGAACCAGATCTATCTTCACTAGTGTATGCTGTCAGTCAATTTTTACCAAGAACTGCAAGGCAAACAAAAGGTTTGTTTGGGTGTCTTTTAGGAATTGCAATTTTGTAGACACAGATTGGGGTAGAAAACCAAAAGTGTTCCAAGAAGGGAAAGAAAGGGACGGAGTTTATAAAGACAGAAAAAGCAGCCTTCTAAAGGGTTTATACAAGTTGTTTTGAAAAAGCTGTGATTGGTACTGGCAAGCATACTATGCTGTAAGATTAATTGTTTATGTCTTTTGCAAGGTGAAAATTTTATTTCTTAATAGTTTAGTGATACAGGGCTATTTCTAGGAATTGTATCATGATAGAGCTGTTTGTGCTGTAGTCCAGTTCAAAAGTTCAGTTTCACATAGAGGGGCTATGTTAGCTCAGCTTCCTGGAGGTCTCCATGCTCCATTTTAGATTGCCTGCTTGACAATACCAACTCCATTTTGCTGTTTTTATTTTACAATACCCACTGCTTAGTATAGTCTATTGTATATGGTACATATTGTACATAGTGTGTGTGTGTGTGTGTGTGTGTGTGTGTGTGTGTTTTAAATAAAGAATGAAGTAAGAGAGAGCGCCTGGGACAAGACTGTAGAGAGACGAGGAGGAAAGGACCTGGGAAAAGTGGGTGATAGGTTTTTGGAGGGAAAATCAGCAAGGTTTTATCTGTTACACTAAATTCTCCTATATTCATGAGTCTGTTTCTAAATTCTGTTCTCAGTTTATTTTTAAAAATTAATTTGTTTAAATTTTTAAAAATTATTTTTTTTAAAAGGTAAGACATATTATAGTAAAAAAGCAAACTATAGAGGAAGGAGTAAAACAAAAAGTAAAAGTCTTCTTCCCTATCCATCTCCTCTACCATCAATGCTACTTCCATGCTTGTTAGAAGTTTTTGCATATTCTACCAGTAATTTATTATGCTCATACAAGCATATGTATATTCCTTTCTTTAAAAGCACAGAGTAGTACTATTCAACTATTCATAGTTTGTTCATATTATTTGTTCCTTAGAGTATATCATGGTGTGCCTTCCTTAATAGCACTTACAAATCTTCCTCATCTTTTTAACACCATATAGTATACCACTGCATGATGTACTGAAAATCATTTATCAGCTTCCCTATTTAGTGACATGCCAAAGAGTTTGCTTTTGAAAGCAGATTCCAGTGGGGAAAAAAAATAACTTGAAGTTGTGATTGGGAAATATGTGGTTATCATCTTTATTGTATTTCAAAAAATAATTTACACAACAGAATAATGTTTTGTTATATTACAATCTGAAATTTTAAAATGAATATAGAATAAATCTAATTTATTACTTAATAATTTGAAACTCTTTAAAAAGCCCTTCTCTTATTTTTAGGATATTCTGAAACATTGTTTTAGAAATTAAAATTAACCCTGCCCTAGCTGCTGTGGCTCAGTAGATTGAGCACCAGCCTGCAAACCAAAGGGTCACCAGTTCAATTCCCAGTGTAGGGCACATGCCTAGGTTACGGACCAGGTCCCCAGCAGGGAGCATGGAAGATACAACCACACATTGATGTTTCTCTCCCTCTCTTTCTCCCTCCCTACCCTTCTCTAAAAACACATAAGTAAAGTCTTTTTTAAAAATTAACCCTGCATAAAAACCTAGTGCTTTTTGAAATTATATTGCATTTATGCATTTTTTAAAATGTGAAAATCTTTTGAAGGTCATGTGCTATGTACTCTTTTGTAGGCCAGCTTCAGTGACCGTAGTTGATGGACTCTATAAAGTTTGCATCCATGTGGGATCAAAGCTGATAGAGAAGATTCTTCTCAACATTTCTTCTGACAGGCTCAGCAGAGTTATAGGTGAGATACTAACACGTCATGAAGAGATTGTTCTTGGTGAAACCAGTCATTTCAGGAGTGTAGAGAGTATATTGGAATAGCATGAACACTAGAATGTAAATTAAGGCTTAATTTCTTGCTCTACGCCTGTCTCAGCGCATGAATAGAGGGAAGCAAGTACCTAATCTCTTCTTACTCTAAAGTGTCAATTGGTAAGCAAAAGCACTAAGATCTTAGTTTTTTAAAAAATTAAATTTATTGGGGTAGCATCCATTAATAACATTAACATTATATAAATTTCAGGTGTACAATTCCTTAATACATCCTCTGCATATTGCATTGTGTGCTTACCACCCAAAGTTTAGTTTCTCTGTCACCATATATTTGACCCCTTATATCCTCTTCATTTCCCCTCACCCCCCTCCTTTCTGGTAACTGCCATACCAGTATGCATAACTTAGTTTTAGTAGTTAGTAATAGTTAAGTCAATGAGTGTGTGACACTACATATATATATATATATATATATATATATATATATATATATATGAAAATAGTGTACTGTCAGTGGCGTGGATTTATAGTGTATTTAGCTATGATGCTAGGTGTAGTCAGTGGCTAACAACAAAGGGAAGATAAACTATCTGTCAGAAGATCAAACTCTATACCTCTCCTCATTAGTCTCAAAATCTCTAAGCAGAAGAGGTAATCTGGTTTTATTAATTGCTCTTTCTCTTAATAGTGGGTTTTTTTTCTTTTCTGTGTCTATTAATTTTTGCCTGAATGCTGAACATTATGTGTAGAATAATGCAGACTGAAGAAAACAGTTTTTAGTTTTTTATTCACATGGAAACAGTCATACCTATTTTCCTAGACCTTTACCAGGAGCAGGGGAGTGGGCAGAGTAGAGTCAGTCTTGTCAGACATTGTGTTGTATTCAAGTTTGTTATTGCTGTTATTACCTTCAGGTCACCTCTGGCTTCAAATTCCTCTAGCATTTACCTGGTGCTTGTAGTGGGAAGTGATTTGCTAGTTTTCCTCAATATTCTTGCTCTACCATCCACTTTAACCCTTCAGTGTGTACCTGGCCCTCAGAGAGAGATTCTCTTCATGTGCTTGCACCTGCCCAATGTGTACACATTCTGTTGATTGTTATTTGGTATGTCCTAGCCTGGTTGTAGGAACAGAAGTGAGTTTTTTTTCTTTTTTAATTGAATTTATTGGGATGACATTATTTAATAAAAACGTACAGGTTTCAAGTGTACAACTCAATAAAACATCATCTGCACTGTGCATCATGCACTCATCACACAAAGTCTCTTTCTGTCCCCATTTATCCCCACTTTGCCCACTTCTGCCTCCTCCCACCCCAATTTGCTCTAGCTATCACCACACTGTTGTCCATGTCCGTGTATCATATATGTTTTTTGCTTAATCCTTTCATCTTTTTTCATCCAGCCCCCAAACCCCTCCCTTCTGACAGCTGTCGATCTGTTCCATGTACTTATAGTTGTGTTTCTATTTTGTTTGTTACATTATTTTGTTCATGAGATTCCACATGTAAGTGAGATCATATGGTATCTGTCTTTCTCTGATTGGATTACTTCACTTAGCATAATACTTTCCAGGTCCATTGATGCTGTTGCAAAATAGTAAAATTTCCTTTTTTTTTTTTTTTTTTTTTTACTGCTTTGTAATATGCCATTGTATAAATGTACTACAGCTTTTTTATCTAGACTGCATCTATTGATGGCCACTTAGGCTGTTTCCAGATCATGGCTATTGTAAATAACACTGCAATGAACATAGAAGTATATATATTCTTTTAAATTAGCATTTCAGGTTTCTTTGGACATATTCCCAGAAGTGGGATCGCTGGGTCAAAAGGTAGTTCTATTTTTAATTTTTTGAGGAAACTCCATTCTGTTTTCCACAGTGGCTGTACCAGTCTGCATTCCCACCAAAAATGCATGAGGGTTCTCTTTTCTCCATATCCTTGCCAAACAAACACTTGTTGCTTGTTAAATTATTGATGATAGCCATAGCCACTCTGATAGGCATGAGGTGATATCTCATTGTGGTTTTAATTTGCATCTCTCTGATAGTGATGTTGAACATCTTTTTATATATCTACTGGCCATCTGTATGTTCTCTTCGGAAAAGTGTCTATTCATATCCTTTGCCCATTTTTACATTGTTTGTCTTCATAGTATTGAGTTGTATAAGGTCTTTATATATTTTGGAAATTAACCCCTTACTTAGATGTATCATTGGTGAATGTTTTTCCTTTCAGTGGCTTGCCTTTTCATTTTGTTAATGGTTTCTTTTGCCATGCAAAAGGTTTATGTTTGATATAGTCCCATTTGTTTATTTTTTTCCTTTGTTTCTCTTGCCTGAGGAGACATATTGGCAAAAGTATTGCTACAAGAGATGTCTGAGATTTTACTGCCTGTGTTTTCTTCTAGGATTTTTATGGTTTTGAAATTCAAATTTAAGTCTTTTTTTAAAAACATAAAATGTAAGTCTTTTATCCATTTTGAGTTCATTCTTCTGTATGGTGTAAGTTGGTGGTTTAGTTTCATTTTTTCACATATACCTGTCCAATATTACCACCACTGTTTATTGAAGAGACTCTCTTTACTCCATTATCTATTCTTGCCTCCTTTGTCAAATATTAATTGACTGTACAGGCATCGGTTTATTTCTGGGCTTTATGTCCTGTTCCATTGATCTATATTCCTGTTTTTATGCCATTACCAGGCTGTTTTGATAACAATGGCTTTGTAGCATAGTTTAACATCAAGTAGTGTGATAAGTCCATTTTATTCTTCTTTCTCAAGATTGCTGAAGCTATTCAGGGCCTTTTTTGGTTCCATGCAAATATTTGGAATATTTGTACTAGATCTGTGAAGTATGTCGTTGGTATTTTAATAGGATATATGTTGAATCTATAGATTGCTTTTGGTAGTGTGGACATTTTAATGATGTTAATTCTTTCAATCCATAAACTCAGTATATGCTTCCACTTAATTATATCTTCATTTTCTTTCTTCAGTATCCTATAATTTTTTGAGTATAGGTATCTTACCTCCTTGGTTAAATTAATGCCTGGGTGCCTTATTTCTTTTTTTCTTGCTGCAATAGTAAATGGATTTGTTTTCTTAATTTCTTTTTCACTATTGATATATGAAAATGCCATCAATTTCATAATATTAATTTGGTATCCTGCTATCTTATCAAATTCATTTATCAGTTTAGTAGTTTTTTGGTGCAGTCTTTAGTGTTTTCTATGTACAGTATCATGTCATCTGCTAATAATGACAGTTTTACTTACTCTTTTCCTGTCTGGATGCCTTTTACTTCTTCTTATCTGATTGCTGTAGCTAGAACTTCCAGTATTATATTGACAAAGAGTGGTGAAAGCAGACATCCTAGTCTTGTTCCTGATCTTAGGAGAAATGCTTTTAGTTTTTGCAGTATGATGTTGGCTGTGGGTTTGTCATATATGGCCTTCATTATGTTGAGGTTGGGAGTGAATTTCTGATGCTGGTCCAGCCCTGGTTTCTGTGTCTCTGGGTCTTGGACATGGTGCTTTCTTAGTGACCCTGCCCCTCCTGCTGAGGCAGCCCAGCTCTGCCTTGTGTCTTTGTCTTGCATGGTCCTTCTTCTCTCCTAGCAGCAGAGCACCCCTAATGGTCTTGATCCACAGTGATTTTTCTGCCTCTCCCCAGGGGATAACAGGATGTTTCTCTTAATTTTTCTCAGTCTTCTGAGGGTCTTCATCTGTACTCTTGAGCAACAGGACTTTTCATCCTTCCTCCCACATTTTAAGGCTTTTGTTCCTTAAGAGAATGGTCTTGAGTGGTGTTTTGTGCTTTTTCTAGTGGCAGCTTGGCACCTTCTCTAGGCTTTTACTGTAGTGAAGCTTTCTCTGATGTCTTGCCCTTTGTCCAGTCTTGTGAGTACCTGGTGGAGATGACAATAGCCTATGAGGGTGCAAACTCCCCTTGGCTTTTAGCAGTTTATTAAAGATGTAAGCACATTCTTCTGTGCTTGTTTGGACTTCTTTTTTCTGAGCTCTGCCCCAAGTAAACCTGTGCTCCTGTTATATCTCTCCTTATATTTTAGGGGTTTTTTTGTTTGTTTGTTTTTTTGGTTTCTGTATAACCTTGGCTATTTTACCAGTTCAAAAAATTGATTTGTAGTTTATTCAGCTTTTCTGAATGATTAAGGCGGGAGCCATGCTCTTTCCAGCTTTCTACATCCTAATTTAAAGTCTCTTCTTTTTATTTGATTTCTTTGTCAATTCTCATTCTTTTGACTGTTTTTATTCCATTTCTCAATGTTTTTTATTTTATTTTTGGTCTCACCTCTTCAGTTTTTGAACAATGTCAAATTAGTCTTTATCTATCAGAGAAGTATCATTCTCATATCAGGTAAATATGTTTTGTCCATTCCTGAGACAATTAAAGTCATATTTCTTGACATTTAAGTAAATTGTAACTGTAGAGAAAATGAGGGCGTCGATTACAAAGTGGTTATCAGACCATTCAGACTATCAACAATCTTGATTTTTTAGCTTATCAAATTGAAAATACAAAATGTTTAATTATTATGAAGAATTTTCACACCTCCAAAAATATGTCATTGGCCCTGCAGGAGTCATAGTCCCAATCCAAGAAAGCCTAGTGTTGTTGGTCAGGGAACTAGTACAGATTGAGCATAGTCAATAGTGCCTTGTTAGTCTAGCATTGACAAACCTACTAAATAACTTGATTAGATGTCCTAAAAAATAAGAGGAAGAATATAGGACAAATGCAGAATACAATGACATTTCTGTGTGTAATTGTAGTATTTTTATATTATCAAGATTTGATATTCATTAAGTAACTGATTCAAGACTCTATTATATAAACAATAAATATGTCTATACAACTGTAAGGACTGTAGACTGGTTAATATAAGTGTACTTTATTAAAATAATTTTTTTAAATTACAGTTGACATGCAGTACTACATTAGT